TACATATTATGAAACACTAAAATGATTTATGAAACAACTATTTCTGGAATGTGTAGAACTCAACAAGAAAAAGAATCTAGAGCTGGTGTTTATACAGCTTCGAAAAATGCTTTTGAACATAAAAATAATGTATGTGGAGTATATGTTAAAGTTGATGATTTACTAAGAAATTCAAAATTTGATGCTGAAATGAAATAAATCATTCCTTTAGATAATTTCTTGCCTTTACAATCATTTACTTCATATCCAAATGCAATATTTAATGAATTTGAATTAGATATTAAACAAAGAATTACCCAAAATTTTGTTTATTGTCAGGTTAATCCAGCAATATTATGCGATGAATTTAATGAAAATCATTTAGCATCTGATAAAATTACATGTTCAATTTCTGATTGGATGAAAGGTGTATCTAAAGAATTTACACAAATTGGTGATAAATCACTTATGCTTGGTTATTGTTATTTCTCAACTGGAAATAGTTATTCTCAGTTTACTGGAACAGTTCAAATTCAAGAAAGTACTTGTATATTATTCCAGAGTGTTATTAATGGTTTTAATGTTAAAGATTCGGTATTGAAAGAAATATATGAAAAATATAGTAAAACACCATTATTTGTTCCAGCTCGAATAACAACTGAATATGATTTTCCACCAAATCAATCTGTTTCTAGAATTATTTGTTCAAACATGATGAGCTACCTAAATACATCTATGTTATTCTTCTTATTTCCAAGATCTATTTATCAATGTACTGTATCTAAAAATCCACATATTAGTGATATTAAAGTTATAACAGCAAACAGAACTATACCAGATCAACAAATGGATACATTATCAAGTGAACTTAGTGAATTCCAATTAGCAAATACCAATTTTGATACATTATTTGCAGCTCCTCATTCTATAATTAATAGTTTAACATTTAACGAGTCTTCTGAAAATACTAATGATTCATCTAAACATATTAAATATCTAAGTGATGCTACTGATTTTATGATGTCAATTCCTTTAGAAATATA